AAAAAATAATAATAAGTTTCTTAAAAGTAAATGAAATTAAAAAATTGTTTTAAAAGAATATTTAATTCAAAAAAGAAAAAAAAAAACATTATAAATAAAAAAATACATAAAATAAGTTTCTTGAAATTTAGTTAGGTCAAAGTTATTTTTTTTACAGAAAATCCCAAAATTAAAAAAAAAGAAAATTTAATTAAGTAAAAAATACATAAAATAAGTTTCTAAAAATAAATGATGAATATTAAAAAATATTTCGTATTTTTCTTTTTAAAGCAACAAAATCCTAAAATCAAAAAAAAAAATTAAATCAAAAATAGAAAATAAAAATTGTACTTAAAAAAATGTCCACCGTCCGAGCATTCGAACCTCGGATCTTTCGACTGATATACCAATGCTTTGCTAACTCGGCTGTTTGCGACTGTTGCAGCGGCGCGAGCAAAATGAAGCAAAAGAGCTTTTCACCATGAAAGTTGGCAAGGGAGCTTTTTTGTAAGACTTTCGTGCCAGAATAGTGAAAATACTTCAAACTATCTTGCCTACTGTGTCTTACAAAAGACTTGCAACAATCTTAGCCAAATATGCCATGTATATTAATCAATAGCGGAAAAAGCGATCAATGCGAAACGTTGTCAGGCAGGCGCCAAGTAATATTTAGATGGCTCACAAGTGTCGTATTGTCGTATGTCATAAAGTTTTTAACGACTGAAAACGGGGACATTCGCCACTTCTGAGAAAAAAATTGGAAATTTGGGAGAAAATTTGTGTAACTTTTTTGTAGTTTTATACAAAGTTTAAGCAACATTGTCTAAGAATGGTTGTTGTTGTTGTAGAGGCTACAACAACCCAGCCCAGATCGGCTAGTTCCTCAGTCGTTGTCGTCAAGCTCAATTAAATGAACACACAAGAAGCGTGGAGCCTCTATAGGGTCCGCCCATAGAGACAGAGGCGTTAGTTGAGTGGGGTTTAGTGGGCATGCGAATAGATGTCTTGAGGCGTGGGGTGTCTCTAAGCATGCCGGCCACTCATTGGGCACATCTGCATCCAGTCTGGTCAGGTACGAGTTTAACCTGCTGCACTAGCCAGAGCGAAGTTGGGCTCTGGTGGTCCGAGTCTCCCGAGGCAGACGAAGCTCTGTATCGTCCACGTAAGGTGGTTGTGTGCCCATAACGGCATTCGCAGTTCTGGAGTCCCTGTGCATGCCGATCAAGGCCTGGCGATATGCTGTCGGGTCCATAGGTTGCCTTATGAACCTCTGAACTTCGTCCGTCAGTTCGTGCCTTGGCGGGGGCTCCTCTGCAAGCAAATGTCTGTTCGGGTGTCCACGTTTGTGGCTCCCTACTAAGAATTGCTTGCAGAGCATTGTGTTGTGCCTCTAATGCAGAGCATTTTCGCCTCGTTATATAGATGATGTTTTGCGTTGCATAGTTTATGAACGTCCGGCCTATTGCCTTGTATGTTACCAGCAACGTTTTTTTGTCTTTGCCCCAGGTACTGCCGGCTAGCGACTTGAGGACCTTGTTGTGGCTCTGTACTTTATTGACAATTGCGGTTGTGTGCGCCGAGAAGGAGAGCAAGCTGACGAAGGTGACTCCGAGGATATTCGGGTTATTCGCCGTCGCAATTGGTTCGTCATGGACGTGAAGCCCCTGCAGTCTGACCTCCTTCGCCCAGGTTGTTAAAAGTGTTGCTGAGGATTTTGTAGAGGTGAGGGTTAGGCTCCTTGCAGTGAAGAAACTCTAAAGTTCGGAGTGGTGACCGTTTAGTAATGGGGAAGGCCTCTAGTGTCTTTGCTACCTAGGAAAGGAGGGTTATGGGACGACAAGACTCTCCTTTGTTGGCTGGTTTCCCCAGTTTTAGCAGTGGGACCACTCTCCCCATTTTCCAGTTGTCTAGAGTGAGGAGAGCGGCCATTAACAGGTTGAGGAGGAGGTTGGTGTGGTAATCTACTCCCGCACGTACCAATTTTTTCAGCATCTTTCAGAAAATCACCCCTGCTGAAAGCAAGAGGCGCACTTATTGTTGGCAGTTTGTGCAGCCTTCAGATCACTCGACGTTTGTTTTTATCCGCCGGAGGATACAGCATAATTTTTTGGCTAAAATAGCTCGCGCAAAGCTCCGGATCCGACAAGGCACGATCGCCGAAAGAGATTGCGACTCTGTCGTCTCGCTTCGTCGGGTTGGGTAGTGACCTCGTGGTTGGCCAAATGTTACTCACACCAGAGGTGAAGTTGCAAGTCCTCAGCTACTCTTCCCACTTCTTCCGCTTATGTACGTGCACAAGCTGCCGTATATAAATCCCGAGGGTTTGCGGGATCAGCCTGACGAAGGCTGTCACGCTCATCGGCTAGAACAGCCGCTTTAGCAGGAAAGTTCGGACAGGGTTCCGAAACCAAAACTGGCTGGGATGAAACAAGCTGCAGTAGCAGTGACAACCCTGCGGATCGGTAGCGAAGTTCGATCGTGTATGCCATTCAGCGCCTTCTTGCAGGTAAAGATAGACTGAAAGCTTTGACTGAATTACTGTCTGTGTTCGATAATTTTTTGAGCTCTTCTTTCGCTTAGCACTTTATTCCTTCTGGATTTTAAAATACATATTATTTCCCCGTCTAATTTGTCGTTTGGTGATTATTTGTATTCGGGTATTTATTTGGAAAATCCTCTATCTTATGTGATTGGGGTCAAAAATTAATAAATAAAATATATGGCAAGACCACAATAGCTCAGCTGATTTTGACAATTCAGGCTTAATGCTTTTATTTACATCTGCGCGATAAGAGAAAATTCGCAATCAACTGATAGCACCACGTAAATATACATAAGGACACATATTTAGCAGTTTCAGGAGCCGAATTTTTAGCATACGTGGCCTAAGTGCGATTGTTCAGACAAAGGACAAATCAAAAATTTTACACCAGCGAGGATATCAGTATGCCAACGCCAGTTTCCATGACAGCGTAACCATAACAATTGCTGCAGCATTGCTGAATTATTAAAACAAAACAAAGTAGAAGAACTTTTCACAAGTAGATACACAACGGCGCCCACGCACGTTTGACGACAGCTTGCGAAAATGTTTCTCTTCGATTGGCTGCTGCAACGCATATTGCCAGTGATTTTTTTCCATCTGCGACCTTTCATCAAATGGTTTTTACACACATTCACACGTCTCTGTGAACTTCAACGCATTGTATATGGCGCACAAGCGGGTGCGAGTCGTACACGCCAAGTGGAACGCTCGCTAATGCTTTCGCAAAATATTGAAATACAGCAGCTGTTGCGGGAGTTGGACACTGCTGTGGAAAGCTGTAGCGATGAGGAGATGCGTCAGCTACCCGCGCGCGCCGTTAGCGTAGTACAGCATGCAAAGCATATAAAAGCGAAAATACATCCAGATTTTGCTCCACTTTTTGGCAATTGTGTGCTGCAAATTTGGAGTTATCGGCATCTGTTACATCAGGTGGAACGCTTGCGGGCTGAGCCATACGATGCAGACAATTTGGAACACGAACAGAAATTGTTAGAGTTGTGGAATAGGCTAATGCCAGAAGAGCCGCTTGAAGGACGCATTACAAAGCAATGGCAGGATATTGGCTTTCAGGTATGCATACATATTCATCATAACTTTGTGTATCCCTATAAAAATGTAAACATTTTTAGGGTGACGATCCCAAAACCGATTTCCGCGGCATGGGCGTACTTGGTTTGGAGAACCTTTTGTATTTCTCGCGCGAATACCGCGACGCAGCGCATCATGTGCTCTTGCACTCAAAACATCCCGTCTATGGTTATACCTTTGCCATAGTGGGTATAAACCTCACCGCAATGGCATATCGTTTGCTCAAGTCGGGCGATGCGAAAGTGCATTTCTATAACGCAGCACAGGCGGTAAATCAACCTTGCACACTGGCACATTTTCACAAATTCTATTGCTATTTACTTTTCGAATTCGACCGCTTCTGGATGGAGGCGGAACCGACAAATATAATGGATTTTCGTGAGATTTATCAACGATTTGAAATTTTAATAATGGAAGCTTTACACAATGACAAAACGCTGTTCAAAACGAATCTAGTTGTAGAAGAAGTTTAAGAAGGAACTGAATTCTTTTCTCGAAAGTACTTAGGTTAAAGATAAAATGTAGAATGATGTGTTACTTAAACAAAATTTTATACACCTTTTAAACACTTATAAAACTATAAAAACCAACAAGGTTATTGAATAAGTGGAATCTATTAAAAATTCACTAACACAAATATATAAATGTTTCGCACTTATGCAAGTTTCTTTTTTGTTATTTCTGTAAGCAGTCTAAATAACTTTTTTGGGAATGCTGCCTCAGCGTTAATGTTAGTCAGATGTTTTTTTCATAAGAGTATACAAAGTTTCCAAAGAGTTTTCAGTAAAAAGAGCTAGAGTGGCAGTGCTTGGTACAATATCTGTGAAGGATGATAGTTTAACGTAAAGTTTTCTTAACTTGTTTTGGCATGAGTTTTTGGGAAATGCTACTATAGTGAAAGTCCTTATCCAGATAGATGTAGATCTAGGTCGTTTTGAGTGTCGATGGAACGGATGCAGAGGCCTCTGAAATCCGCTTTTCTATAATAATAAGTGATGGGCACTTACCCCGAACTTTAATTCGAATCAATTAGTATTTTTTTCTGCCAATGCACTTGCTCGTATGTGAGATGTTCACTCAACTTCTATGCAATTAAGTAATCGCATTATTCTATATTCACTTTACACACAACTAATATTTACATATATATGTATAAACATTTTGTTCATGGAAGCACTAAAAATTAATTGCAATAATTTTTTAATTATTTCACATCACTTGTTGAAAGAAAACTAGACACGCATCCGTTTCCGCGCGAATCGACCGCGTTGCCAACCACTCAAAAAGTTATTCTTTTTTGCGCGCTGCCAGTCTGCCACAAATTCCTATTTTTTACAAAAATATATCCCGTATTCACCAAAAACATTTAAATTAAAACAACTTTAGTGTTTGCGTTTTAGCTTTATTTGAATTATAATCGTTTTTATTCGTCTTTCAGTGCGGCGCGCAGCGTTAAATGAATTGGATAAGAGTAAATATTTGTTATGATCTACATGGTATTACTGATTTATATGTATGCATTACATATTCATTATCGTAATCATGCAGTTATTTATGTGTATGCCTATAAATATGTATGTATGTACATATATGTAAATGCGTATGAAATTTATATAATCGCGGTGTAGTTCGTTATATGAGTACATCGAGATTTTTCATTATTTTCGTTTATTTGATTTCGGGGCAATTAAGTAATCGGAACTTAATTGCCGGAATACATAGCATTAATTTCTTATCGCAAGTTTTTTTTTGTTCATTCCCAATGTAGTTTTTAGCAAATACATGTATGCAGCATGTATATACGTACGTAGTTCGTCAGATTTATTTTTATGATGCAAGCTTATGTGTGGAATGATATTTATTGTGTATGTGCCTTTGTGTCGATCATTAATATATATTTCTATAAGTTATTAAATAATATTCATTAAATGAATGCATGTGAGCACTGGAATACTTTAAATTTACTTATATTTAAAATAAGATCACAAAAATAAAGGAAAAACTCACACCAAAAGCATAACTGAGGCAGTGAATAGCGTATACTATAAAACAAAAGTAGTCTAAATCATATACATATGCATATAACCACATAAACACTAAAATTAAATTGTTAACATAAGAAATCGCGGCTTAAGTTTGAAGTTCTCATAGCGTAGTAGTACTAACATATTTACTTCAATATATGTAATGCATTTTCATGCAACTACACTTACAAATACATGACAATGTAAAAATATATTTAACAAAAATCAGACATTTTGACTTAAAATTACGTATGACCATTATATGAGAATCACTTAAATGCGAAAATAAATGGAATCACTTACAAAATTAAAAGAAAATATCACTTGAGTAATGTAAAAACTAAAAATTCGGTAATTTTTAAGCCAGAAACCCGGATATTTGTTATATTCTCGGGGAAAAAGAACCAAGCTACTAGAAAGCTGCTCAATGATAATCCTATATATAGTTTATTCGTTCATAGTCATCTCTATCGTTTGCACTTGTCATATCTTCAGTTTCTATTTTGAAAATAGAGCGCTAAATACTATCGTCCTAAGTTCGATTCTTATTATATTGCCCTCTTTAACGATAGAATTTAACCTCTGCTTCCACACAGTCTTTCATCAGCTCATCCAACTCTTCATCAGCAGTTGGATGTTCGGCCAAATAGGTGTTTAACTCTTCAACGCAAGCAGCTTCCAGGGCTTTCAAATCTTCCACGGCAGCTGGTTTACGTTGTGCATGCAATTTGTGCAAGAGCGTGTGTGTGTTTCCAGGTGGCACTTTGGTGAGTGGTGAAATTTTTGGATTCTGTGCAAAAACAAATGGTTTGAAGACTGATTCGCTAGCATTGGGTGTTGCTGTAAACCAATGACATGAAATGCCAGTCGAAAGCACAGAAACACTGGCCGAACGAGCGGTTGCACCGTCGGCAGCCGAACGTAGGGTATCAAACATGCTAGTCAATGTGTAGCTACCATCGCCAAGAGGTGCGTCACCGCTCCATTCAATATCTGTGGCGTCGTCGGCACTGAAGCAGCTGGCGAAATTTAAGTCTCCCTAGAATTTGCATGGAAAATTACAATCATATTTTTCCTTAACAAATGATTTACCTCTCCATCCCATAGTCCCTGTCCCTTGAGTGCATCTCCTAATGCCTCACTTGATTTATCGATCGTAGTCTTTACACTAAGTCCAGTACTCTTTATACGAAGCATACCATCAGCGACACGTTGTGCTGCCCACAACTTACCACCGCTGCTAACCAGCCAAACTTCGCTAGGATCACAGACAACGAAACTGTATTTCGCATCGTCAGGGCTATGATTACTAACCAATAAGCCAATGCGTTCCACTGCATCTGCAGCATTGTTGGCGATGGCTAAAGTTAAACTGTAACGAAAACGAAAAAGTATGAAAGCTTAGTATAAAGGATATTACAGGCCGAGGTAGTTCTTAAAAAAAAAATACGAATACTCACCGTACGATATCAGTCGAACACAGAGTATCACTATTGCTAGCAGGCTCTTGCGCTGCCCAAGACACGGCTACAGATACGTTGCGGTCGTTGGCCCCGACGTCACCGCCCCAAGCGCCAGTTCGAGATTTTTGCAATATCACACGCATAATTTCACCATTTGCTTTAATAACATCTGCGCCACCATCGGGCTGGTTATGTTGGGGAAGAATTTGACAAAAACAAAAAAGAAGAAAATGACACGTCATAAGTCAATGATCAAATTCGCCAAAGATTACTCATCATCAGACAATCAACCAACATGCAGCCTTCACTTACCTTGCCCTCGAGTGCAGTACTAGCATCGTAGTAGTGAACCTCTTGCGTTTCTGTCACAGCATCCGCATCCAGCGCATTGCGTCCAAGGATGATGGTGTTTTCAGCAGTATTTGGAGTTTGCACTATAAAACAATCACCAGTTGCAGACATATCGGAAAATTCACAGAATTCCAATAGGAATGAGCAAATTGAAAATTTTCACTTTCAATTGATTTTTCGCAAAACTGCTGACGGGGCTATTGTGAAGATGGAAAATTCTCAGTAACGAACCCCTTCTAGGTAGAGCGTCAACTCTATTGCAAATATATGCAATAATATTTTTTTAACAGATTTATTTTGAGATACGATGATCACAGAACACGATTTATTGCAAATCCGTCGAAGGAAAAATTTTCCAATGATGAGCAAACACCGGGCAGGGATGGTATCAAGAAGGTATGTGAAAGCGAACATTATCGCGTTGCCAACTAGTAGCAAGAATGAATGCATGTGATAAAGACCCATTAAAAAACCATTGTACCGTGAAAACGCGATTAAAAGCGTGGCAACTCCTACACAGTTTTCTTGTTCTCTTTCACTTGACTGGTGCGGTGGTGTTGCGACTGCAGAAAAACAATAAATTTTGCCCAAAAATCGCAAGTAAAGTGGCTAAATTATAGTTCAACCTTAAATTTAAGAGCCCCGCTACGAAATGTATATGAAATTCGTGCAAAGTTTAGCATTTATGACGCCGTAGATACGTTTGGAAAATTTTTGCATTCGCGACGTATCTTTTGATGAGGTGCGTTCAGTGTTGGCGCGTCGAAAATTTTTGGTGGGAAAGGCCGTGTGGCGAAGGCTGAACATTGGTGCCATCCCGCTTGCTCTGTTTGTTAGTCCAATTGGAAATTGAGTGCACAAGGTGGATGCAAGCAGCGGAATATGCCAAAAGACGGAAGGATAAATAAATGTTTGAGAGAAAAACGAAGTGAGTGCGAGAAAATTACAAAGTTGGTAATTTAGTTTTTGTTTTTGTAAGCGCGGATGTTTTTGCATTCGTTTTCTGGTACTCGTCCGTCATGTGCGGCTAGACGTGGCAATGCAAGCGCTTTTTCTAAGCATTTAGCTGTCAAAATGCGAAAGCGAAAGCACTATTTAGTGCAAACATAAAGGTGTGGTTAAACGTGGCAATGCTAACGAATTTTTTTTACGCATTTTGCTGTCAAAATGTGAAATCGAAAGGCAACTTTTCCGTGTAAACAGCCAGAAAAGGGTGGGCTTTAGATTGCTAACCCCGGAGTTCAGCATTAAGGAAAATATGGGAGGTAGATGGGGGTCTAATAGTTCCCTGTATGAAGTTTCAAAGCGCGCAACTTTATAGTTTTTAAGTAATTTGTTATTAAAGTTTGTAATTTTCACCAACTTGTATTGGACTATTTCACAATATATAATGCACTTTCCACTAAATTTACACGTTATTTACACTCAATA